AACATTCACACTTGCCTCCAGCAGACAAGAGTTCTTTCCCCCACCCTGGACCTTCCACAGATATATAAACCAACCTTGCTTAGTTTCCAACAGTCCCGCACAACCTCTGAGATAGATGTGGGTGAAATGTCAGGAGAGAATGCTTCTGGAACACAGCCATACAGCCCAGAAAACTCACAGCAACCCTATGAAAGCCTTCGACAACACATCTGACATTACGCTAGTCTTTAATGCACAACCCGTGTCAAAATCTGAAGTAGGAGAAATTAAAATGACCACTTTGCCATAACAGTGACTTCTTGTTGGCAGATTCGACTCTCTCAAAAGGGCTCCGGACTAAACGCTAAAATGTTTAACACGACCGTGTGCATCTTTAAGGAAATAACTGCAAACTTAAGCATTAAAAAAAATAATCTTGGAAACTCATATGGCCAAGAAGGAACAAAACAAACAAACAAACAAGTCTTAATGCACCTTTACATATGACAGTAATAATGCCCATTAATTAATTAATATATGTATGGCAAAGATTTCAATTCCATGCATATGGTTTTTCTTTTAATAAATGCAGAAAAATAAAAACATACACGAAGCATTTTTTTTTTAAAAACCCTCACGTTAAAAAAATAACGGCATAAACACAATATTCTGTTTGCATTGCACTTTCGGGAGGGAGAACTGAACCCAACTCACTGCAAACCAACAAGGGCAAGACCGCAAACTCCAGAAAACTTGGTATCATGCAAGTTTCGTTTATTCTATCGTGATTCCACCCTTCCCGTTTTCCGTTTTCGCCAAAGTCACCTGATTTTGCCTTTCCTGTGTGTACCTCCCACCCCATAACATGACAGTGTACTTCCTCCTTGTTCGTGCTTTACAATGGCTATCAGACTGGATAATCACAGCTTTTGTTAAAAAAAAATGTAATACAATTTAAATTTTCGATACAGTAGAGTCTCGCTTATCCGACATAAACAGGCCGCCGGAACGTCGGAGAAGCAAAAATCTCGGATAATATGAAGGGATTAAGAAAAGCCCTGATGCTGGGGAAAATGGAAGGAAAAAAGGAAGAGGGGCCGATCAAGGGCAAGATGGATGGATGGTATCCTTAAAGTGAGTGGATTGACCTTGAAGGAGCTGGGGGTGGTGACTGTCGACACATCATGAGAAGACAGGAAAGCTTAGAGAAGGGAATGATGCTGGGGAAAATGGAAGGAAAAAGGAAGAGAGGCCAACCAAGGGCAAGATGGATGGATGGTATCCTTAAAGTGAGTGGATTGACCTTGAAGGAGCTGGAGGTGGTGACTGTCGACACATCATGAGAAGACAGGAAAGCTTAGAGAAGGGAATGATGCTGGGGAAAATGGAAGGAAAAAGGAAGAGAGGCCAACCAAGGGCAAGATGGATGGATGGTATCCTTAAAGTGAGTGGATTGACCTTGAAGGAGCTGGAGGTGTTTGGCCACATAATGAGAAGAAAGGAAAGCTTAAAGAAGATAATGATGCTGGGGAAAATGGAAGGAAAAAGGAAGAGGGGCCAACCAAGGGCAGGGTGGATGGATGGTATCCTTGAAGTGACTGGATTGACCTTGAAGGAGCTGGGAGTGGTGACGGCCGACAGGGAGCTCTGGCGTGGGATGGTCCATGAAGTCACAAAGAGTCGGAAACGACTGACCGAATGAACAACAACAAGCAAAGCCTATTAAACCTGAGCAAAGTCCTTTAGTGCTCGCTCACTCTCTTTCTTTCCGTTCCTCTTCCATAAAGCAAACATTTCTGATGCTGGCAAGAGAGAGAGAGAGAGAGAGAAAGAAACAAACAAAGAGAGAGAGAGAGAGAGATGGGTCAGGGCTGCAGGGAGGTGGGCGAGGTGAGGATGGGCACCGAGGTCAAAAGTGCCAGAGAGCGAGGCCTTTCTTTCTTTCCCTTCCTCTTCCATAAAGCAAGCATTTCCACTGTTGGAGAGAGAGAGAGAGAGAGAGAGAGAGAGAGAGAGAGCGCCAGGGCTGGAGAGAGGGGGGCGAGGCAAAGACGGGTACCGAAATCAAGAGCACCAAAGAGCAAGGCCGGCGGAACAGCTCAGGGCAGCTTTGACAGGGTTCATGGGGCCTCGCATTCAGCTCAGGCAACGCTTCGTCGAAGTGGAGGCCACTTCGACGAAGCGTTGCCTGAGCTGAATGCGAGGCCCCAGGAAGGAGAGAGTTAGCAAGGAGGAAAGAGGAGTCTGGAGCAGGAGCCAGAGAAGGAAGAGAGGAATTCTCTGAGAAAGAGCCTTGTTTTAGTCTTCCAAGCCAGAAGCAGCCAAGGCTCGTTGGATAACACGGAATGTCGGAGAAGCGAAGGTTGGATAAGCGAGACTCTACTGTACTTTAATTTAGTGGCTAAAGAATCCATTCAAAAGGACACTTTTTTCTTCTATTTTTAAAAGATATGGAGGAGTCAGGAGGAGAGAAAGAAAATACAACAGTTTCCTTACTCTCTAAGTAAAGTTTAGGCTACCTAATTCTGCTTTGGTTGGGGTCCCAAGGCTAGCCAATGCAGCCGGATGGTGTCCCTGATTCCTTTTCTAAAAATCGGAATGGCTGCAATTGCAACTTCCAATTGTTCATTCTTACCAACAGAACCCACTGTCAATCACATCTCCTCATGCCTTAATGCAGAGCTTTCCAAACTCTGTGTCGTGACACATTTGTGTGTTGGTGTGTTGCATGAGTGAGCATATGTGAAATAAGCAAGACATTTATTTAAAAATATATAAATGAAATGTGTAATGTCCTCGCACATTTCATTGTAACCATTTATGTATGTCTCCATCTCTCTACCAGGGCTTGGCATAACCTCGAGTTTGCTAGTAAAACTGAATGACTGTGTTGCGAAATGATACATGTCTGAAAAGGTGTATCATTAACATGTTTGGAAAGTGCAGTGACAATAAAAAATAGGGGAAATTTGGGGCACAATCCTTGCTTTTACCAGTCTGTTTTTTCTTACAAGGGGTTGGCTGAAGCTCCCGTTCGCTAAGAAAACGGAATGACTGTGTCGCGAAACGACGCATGTCTAAAACATGAAATGTTTGGAAAGCTCTGCGTCAATAGTTCTGGTAGTTAACTTGGTAACACTACATATATCCTCAGGCCGCTATATAGTCAACTCTGTTTCCTTGCACGTTCAAACGAGCTAACAAAAGCCCCGATACAACTGATAACAGACGACGGAGTAAAAACGCCTCTCTAAAGGGATTGAGGAAAAAGGGGAAGATGCTAAGTCCAGTTCCTTATTTAAAAAACCCAACAGAATCCCATCGGATCTTTGTGCATAGCGCTTGAGTTACGGGGCTATCTACTGACTTCCTGTGCAACTCACCCTCCAATTCCCATTTACCAGGAAGAAGCAACTGCAGAGCAATGGGAATCTGTTTCCCCATAGCTTGGGAATCTGCTGCCTGCCACTGAGCGATCCCCATTGCCTTAGGCAAGGACAGGGTCCCTTGCACCACCGATTACTGGCACAAAAGCTATGGGAACGGCTGCCCGTGGCTTCCCAATCCACAGGGGAATGAGCCCCCATTCATCCATGTTTCTGGGTAAATGGGGATTGGGGGGTTTCCATAGTCTCCGTGTATGAGGGTTATCCAGAAAGTAAGGTTACAAGGCATGTAGAGAATTTTTGCGGGGGAAGTTTGGTATCACTGCTGTGTAGCAGGAAGCCAGTGAAAGCGAACGAGCAGTGCCAGTCATCAGTAGCTCATCGGTTAGAGAACGAGCAGTGCCAGTCGTCAGTAGCTCGTCGGTTAGAGAACGAGCAGTGCCAGTCAGTAGCTCATCGGTTGGAGAACGAGCAGTGCTAGTCGTCAGTAGCTCGTCGGTTAGAGAATGAGCAGTGCCAGTAACTCACTGGTTAGAAAACGAGCAGTGCCAATCATCAGTAGCTCGTCTGTTAGGGAATGAGCAGTGCCAGTAACTCACTGGTTAGAAAATGAGCAGTGCCAGTTGTCAGTAGCTCATCTGTTAGAGAACGAGCAGTGCCAGTCGTCGGTAGCTCATTGGTTAGAGAACGAGCAGTGCCAGTAACTCATCAGTTAGAAAACGAGCAGTGCCAGTCGTCAGTAGCTCGTCTGTTAGAGAACGAGCAGTGCCAGTCGTTGGTAGCTCATCAGTTAGAGATGAGCATCCTCATTCCATTTCCCTCCAAGTGTGAAGTTTGTGCTGTAATATGCTACCTAAATGCTAAGGGCATGAACGCGGCTGCTAATAATCATGAAATCATTTCAGTTTATGGAGTGGACGTAATGTCAATAATAATAATAATAATAATAATAATAATAATAATAATAATAATAATAATCTTTATTTCTACCCCGCCACTATCTCCCCAAAGGGGCCTCAAGACAGCATGTGACAAAAAGGGTACGGAATATATTGTGAGACCATGACAAAATTTTGCAGAGCCGTCCAAAACAAACATTGTGGGATGCTGACGGCGGGAGTCCACCTCCTTGATGACAATGTGTGTCTGCGCACCGCTCATGCAACACAAGAGTTGTTGACTTCATTTGGTTGGGATGTTTTAGGCCACCCTTCTCACAGCCCTAATCTTGTACCCAGTGACTATCATCTGTACACTAAATTGAAGAAACACTTGGGGGGGGAAACACTTTTCCGACGACAAGGAGGTGAAAATCGAAGTGACGAACTGGCTGAAAAAAGCGATGACAAGGGCGTCAAAAGCTCATCCCACAGATGACAAAATGGTGATTATGTGAAAAAAATGATGTAATACCTATGCTACAATCCATGTAAGTTCCATTAAAATATACTCATTCTTTGTATTTTTTTTTAATTTTGTAACCTTACTTTCCGGATGACCCTCATAGCGCCTTAATTAGGTTGGCGTAGGGACTATGAATACACAACACTTACGAGCGCATAACTCGTAAGTGCGAGATAGGATTCCAATCATGAGGAAGTGAAGCTTCCACCTGGGTGAGGATTTTGCCCTGAGTTTTGTTACTTTTACTGCATATTTATACAATCCGTTGTTGGAGACACATCGGGACAAGCTGCAGCGTAAATCCCAACATTAAAGTATTTGCCACATTGGGAAAAAAGAGAGAGAGAGAGACACACACGTACATACCCCACAATGACCAAATGAGAATCAGAAACGTCGGCTTATTCACAGCAGCAGCAGCAGCAGCAGCAGTCTTTTTCGTTTCCGTAATACGACAGTGAGCGCTCTTGTGAAGGATACGGACATCGTCACGCATGATGACGGGGAAGTCAATACAATACTGAAATTTCTGAGGTGATGATAGAATGCAAACAAGGTCTCTGAGGAAATGGGAAGAGGGTTTTCCCAACGGTTGCCAGGCCGCCCTCGCTTTCCGGCGGATCTTTCTCTCATGGTCCAGCCACGTGTTTGATTTCGTCTATTGTCCAGTTGGGTTCCTAGACCTGAAGTGCTCCAAAGTTGACCGAGTCCTTCCAACGCGTCCTCCCTCTCTGCCGATCTTCCTATTCCTCTCTCAAAGTTACGTCGTGGTTACTAAACACTGAATTCGATAAGGCTTGGTTCCACCACCCCACACGATATCCCGATATCCCATCAAAACATGAACCTACCCATATCCCATCTTTTCTCATTTATAACCATGGGTAAAACACAAAAAGATTATTATTATTATTATTATTTTTCCAAACTAGAGTTCTTAAAAAATTATCTGAAGATTCGTACAAATCGTCTGGTTCAAAATGGTCATGGCTTACTATTCGGCTTTTTTTTTTTTTATGACAAGTACGAATCCAACATCTGTAACAATGTTGTCTTTACAAATTCGGCATTTCCCCCTCCCCATATATTTATATCTATCTATATATATATATATTTATATATATATACACATACACACACTTTTTTTAAAAAAACCTGGCCAATGGCTATAATACCACGTTTGAATTGACTCGGTTGTGTGTGTCTTTCGACAGCTTTGTAACAAAAATGGTATTTTGCTTTTTGCATTTGTCGTAATTCCAAAAGTTTTCTCAGAAAGCGAGCCCCCCGTTTGTTGCCTTTGATTTTGTGTAGCTGCTAGGCGGAATTTCCCAGTCGAAGTTTTGCTTGGTTTTCTTTTTTGCTCCAGACTCAAAAAAGTACTTTAGGTTTAGAAACACTCTTTGTGTTCTAGGCACAGGAAGATGTTGTGCTATCCGGACTGAAAAAAAGAGGTGGGATTCAGTGCTTCTGTTCTCAAGGGGAACGTTGGCTCTCCAAATGAACAACCGCGTCCGTGTTGGTCGGCATGACCCCGGCGCCTCTCCCACACACTCTCCCTTACCGCGCGTATTTTGTCAATCGGCGGCCTCCAAATTAGGCCGAAATCACCATCCTTAGTTTTCCATGTCTTTTGTCGCCTGTTTGTCGCTGGGCAGATCGCTCTGTTTAGGCCACAGTTGCTCCTGAAGTTCCTTCACAACTTTTTCCAAGTGTTCCCGGGCTTCCCTCTCGCGCAACAGATCAGCCCGCAGCTGTTCCCGATCTGCCTCCGCGTGCTGGAGTTTGACTTGCAAGTCTTCAATCTGGAAAAGATGAGGAATAAGAGTCACAATAACATCAGGAACCCTAATTCTCTCCAAGATCACTCTGCTGGATGTTGTACTTTATTATTATTATTATTATTATTATTATTATTATTATTATTATTAGAAACACAACAAGATGAGTCCACAGCAGACACTCTGCTGGCTGTTGTATTGGATCACACGTTGGGCACTTCCCCAAGAATTATTATTATTATTATTATTATTATTATTATTATTATTATTATTATACACAACAAGATGAGTACACAGCAAACAAGATCACTATGCTTGCTTTTGTATTGGACACGTCACACTTCCCAAGTGTCTATTATTAATTATTATTATTATTATTATTATTATTATTATTATTAGAAACACAACAAGATGAGTCCACAGCAGACACTCTGCTGGCTGTTGTAGTGGATCACACGTCGGACACTTCCCAAGTGTCTATGTATATTATTATTATTATTATTATTATTATTTGAAACACAACAAGATGAGTCCACAGCAGACACTCTGCTGGCTGTTGAATTGGATCACAGATTGGACACTTCCCAAGTGTCTAGGACTGTGTATTATTATTCCAATTTATACTACTACTACTACTATTAGAAACACCACAAGATGAGTTCATGGCAGACACTCTGCTGGCTGTTGAATTGGATCACACGTCGGGCACTTCCCAAGTGTCTATTACTACTACTACTACTACTACTACTACTACTATTAGAAACACCACAAGATGAGTTCATGGCAGACACTCTGCTGGCTGTTGAATTGGATCACACGTCGGGCACTTCCCAAGTGTCTATTACTACTACTACTACTACTACTACTACTACTATTAGAAACACCACAAGATGAGTTCATGGCAGACACTCTGCTGGCTGTTGAATTGGATCACACGTCGGGCACTTCCCAAGTGTCTATTATTATTATTATTATTATTATTATTATTATTATTATTATTATTATTAGAAACACCACAAGATGAGTCCACAGCAGACACTCTGCTGGCTGTTGAATTGGATCACACGTTCAGACACTTCCCAAGTGTCTATTACTACTACTACTACTACTACTACTACTACTACTACTACTATTAGAAACACCACAAGATGAGTTCATGGCAGACACTCTGCTGGCTGTTGAATTGGATCACACGTCAGACACTTCCCAAGTGTCTATTACTACTACTACTACTACTACTACTACTATTAGAAACACCACAAGATGAGTTCATGGCAGACACTCTGCTGGCTGTTGAATTGGATCACACGTCGGGCACTTCCCAAGTGTCTATTATTATTATTATTATTATTATTATTATTATTATTATTATTATTATTGGTTTTCTGATGGTGTTTGACGACCCCTCTGAAACTCCCTGGTGACCCCACCAGTGGTCGGGACCCCCTGGTTGAGAACCTCTGTCTTACGGCAAGCAGATGAGCTCTGGGTTTTACTAAATGAGAACGCCAGGCGATGCATGCGCTCTCACTTTCCAACACACATTTATTTCCCGTGTAAACACAGCGCCTGGAACCTAAAGCAAAAGGTCTTCTCACACCATCGTCCAGGGAAACAAGGGTTGTGCACCTCACAGGCCCAGCCCTTCTCGACACACTGACCAAAGGACAGAGAAAGAATCCCAGATGTGAAATCCCTGCGGCAAACCAAGGAGGCTGCGACGGTGAGCCTGGTCGGAAGTCAAAGAATGTCCAAGAGACTGAGGCTCGTTCCCGGCCCCAACCGCAAACCCTTCGGCAAGGCCCACGAAGAAACTCCCGATCGGGTTCTGTTTAGTCTGGGAATGTCTTATCGAAGGCCAGATGCTCGCGATGCATCATTTCCTGCTTCGGCCCTCCTCCACTTGGCAAGCTTCCCAAAAGGGGACTGCTGGGCCGCTCCCCTTCCCTTCCCGTCAAGGAGGCGCAGAAGAGCCGCCTGGTTTCAAGGGATTGTTTGGATCTTGGAAGAGGGAACAGGCCCCTCCGTCCGGCACATCCATGCGCTTTTGTAAACAGAGTTATTTTGGCCACAAGAGTTTCCTCTGGCCTTGGCTGGAATGCCATGATGGAGCAGGATTTTCCTGAAGAAACATCTCCAGGCTTTCATGGCCAGAATCACTGGGTGGCAGTGAGTGTTCCGGGCTGTCTGGCCATGTTCCAGAAGCATTCTCTCCTGACGTTTCTCCCACATCTTTGGCAGGCATCCTCAGAGGTTGGGAGGCCTGTTGGAAACTAGGCAAGTGAGATTTATATATCTGTGGGAGAAAGAACTCTTGTCTGGTAGCCATTATTATTATTATTATTATTATTATTATTATTATTATTATTGGATACACAACAATACGCAAGTGGGGCTTACATATATGTGGAATAATGTCCAGGGTGTGAGGAATAACTCTTGCGTATTGTTATTAGATACACAACAATACGCAAGTGGGGTTTACATCTATGTGGAATAACGTCCAGGGTGTGAGAAATAACTCTCGTCTGTTGGAGGCAAGTGCAAATGCTGCAATTGGCATTTAATGGCCTTGCAGCTTCAAAGCCTGGCTGACTGCTGCCTTAGGGAATCCTTTGTTGGGAGGTGTTAGCTGGCCCTGATCCATTCATAAAGTCATAGAGTTGGAAGAGACCTCCTGGGCCATCCAGTCCAACCCCATTCTGCCAAGAAGCAAGGAAATGGCATTCAAAGCATCCCTGACAGATGGCCATTCAGCTTCTGTTTCAAAGTCTCCAAAGAAGGAGCCTCCACCACACTCCGGGGCAGAGAGTTCCACTGCTGAACGGCTCTCACAGTCAGGAAGTTCTTCCTCATGTTCAGGTGGAATCTCCTTTCTTGTAGTTGGAAACCATTGTTCCATTGCGTCCTAGTCTCCAAGGAAGCAGAAAGGAAGCTTGCTCCCTCCTCCTCCCTGTGGTTTCCTCTCCCATATTTATACATGGCCCTCATCATATCTCCTCTCAGCCTTCCCGTCTGCGCAGGGTTCCATACTTCACACTTTAACAACACAACCATTCAATGCTAAGCTTCCTGCCAAAATGGAACTGTAGAGGAGAGTCTACTGAATAAGCCAGTACCTGCCGCATACCAGTACTGCCATCCGTTGAGGAGTTACAAAGGTGGAGGCATTACTTTTCATTCAACCTAGGACTTCCTCTCACATATTTATACATGGCTATCATGTCTCCTCTCAGCCTTCCCATCTGTGCAGGGTTCCATACTTCGCACTTCAACAACACAACCACTCAATGCTAAGCTTCCTGCCAAAATGGAACTGTAGAGGAGAGTCTACTGAACAAGCCAGTACCGGTTACATCCCAGTACTGCCATCTGTTGAGGAGTTATGGAGGCATTACTTTTTATTCAACCCTCGTACATGGCTATCATGTCTCCTCTCAGCCTTCCCTCCTTCAGGCTAAACATGCCCAGCTCCTTAAGCCGCTCCTCATAGGGCTTGTTCTCCAGACCCTTGATCATTTGAGCCGCCCTCTTTCTCACAGTATTCCAAATATAATCTAGCCAAGGCAGAATAGAGAGTAGCATGACTTCCCTGGATCTGGACACTAGACTCCTATTGATGCATTGGGTCTGGAAATCTGGGGGGTTCCTTTCTTGGGAAGTGTTAGCTGGCCCTGATTGTTTCCTGTCTGGAAATCCCCTCTTTTTTGAGTGTTGCTCCATATTTAGCACCCGAATGGACCAACCTGAACACATTATTGGAGAACACAGAAATGATGGACCACTCTCACAACCACCATGTCAGACTCCACAAAGAAGCCACTGAAATCCACAAGAAGCAGGTGGACAACGTCAACAGAAAAAAAAACCCAATGAAAATGGACAAAACCAGTATTAAAAACTCAAAAATTGGGACAGTAAATAAAGAGCAACGCTAAAAAAACAGGGGAAATCCAGACAGGAAACAATCAGGGCCAGCTAACACATCCCAACAAAGGGACCCCCCCCCCAGACAGGAATCAGCCAGGCTTTGAGGCTGCAAGGCTATCCAATGCTAATCAAGGTGGCCAATGGCAACATTCACACTTGCCTCAAACATCCCATCCTGGACATTCCACAGATATATAAACCCGACTTGACTAGTTCCCAACAGACCTCTCAACCTGAGGATGCCCGCCAAAGATGTGGGTGAAATGTCAGAAGAGAATGCTTCTGGAGCATGGCTGTGCAGCCTGGAAAACTCACAGCAACCCAGGCTGAAGAGTCAATCGCTAAGTAAAGCTAGGAAAGAGCCAGCTCTAGGGTCAAAACAATTCTGAAGACCTTATTGTGCCACTTGATCAGAAACCAACAATCTTCGGAGAGGAACTGTCCGAAATATTCAAAATTAACCAGGTATTTTTAATTACAAAAATGTGAGTCAAGCACTGAAAGGGTTAAATGGATGGCATGACTCAAAAAAAGCTGTAGTTCAATATCAGCAAGTGTGCCTCTAGCTTAGTCACCTCAGTCTGTGAGAGGTGTCTGTGGAAGAAGGGCCTCTGTGTGTTTGTAGGCCTCAGAATGTGTAGGCCTCAGTATTAGTTTGCCTCAGTGGGAGAAAGGCCTCAGTCTGTGAGAGCTTTCAGTGCGAGAAGGCCTCAGTGTGAGGTAGGCTTCAATGTTAGGAGGGGGTCTCTGTGGAAGAAGGGCCTCAGTATGAGTAGGCCTCAGTGTTAGGTTGCCTCAGTGAGAGAAAGGCCTCAGTCTGCGAGAGCCTTCAGTGGGGGAAGGCCTCAGTGGGAAAAAGGAAACAGTGTGAGGTAGGCTTCAATGTTAGGAGGAGGTCTCTGAAGAAGAAGGGCCTCTGTGTGTTTGTAGGCTTCAGTATAAGAAGGCCTGGAGTGAGAATCTTCAGTGAGAGAAGCTTCAAGTTAAAGGCCATCATGTGTGAAGCGTCAGTGTGAAGGCCTCAGTATGAGTAAGCCTCAGTGTTAGTTTGCCTCAGTGAGAGAAAGGCCTCAGTGTGTGAGAGCCTTCAGTGGGAGAAGGCCTCAGTGTGAGGTAGACCTCAGCATGAGAAGGCCTGGTGTGAGAAGCTTCATTCAGAGAGAGAAGCTCCAGGTTGAAGGCCATCCTGTGTGGAGCTCCTGTATAACTTTGGTGTGAGAGGAAGAGGGACTTCTGGGGCGTTGTCCTCACCTGAGCCGAGTATTTGGCTCGCAGCCGTCCCGCTTCGCAGCCCTTGTCGCACACCCGGACCTGTTTGGCTTGCTCCAGCTCCCGCTTTAGTCGTATCCGCGACTCGTTGGCCTCCTTCATTTTCTTTTCGTTCTCGGCTCGGAGGCGCTCGATCTCCTTCCTCAGGTTGCGCTTGGCTTCGGTCGCTTCCCGCAGCTTCTCTTTCTTGGCCACGCGGAGGAACTCCAGCTCCTGCAGAAAGGCAAGGCAAGGCAAGGCCTCCACGGGTAAGGCACGGGCAGGAATACAGGCAGGCACACTGCCCCAGGGTCACCCCTAGAATGGGGGGGGGGCATGGGGCTCAGGGTCAGGTCTCTAAGCCCCCCCCCCCATTCACACTGCCATATAATCCAGTTTTATTTGCATGACAATGGTCAGTGGAGACCAGGCTTTGGGGGCAAACGTTCTAACTCTATCGTTCCCTGTTAGGAGGCCTGGCTGCCCAGTGACGGAAGGAAGGAAGGATGAAAGAGAGGAAGGGAAGGATGGATGGAGAAAGGAAGAGGGGGAAGGAGGGAAAGAGAAATGGGAAAGAAGAAAGGAAGGACGAAACAGTGGAAGAGAAGAACAGAAGGAAGAAAGGGAAGGAGGAAGTAAAAAGAAGGAAGAAAGGATTGAAGAGGGATGGAAGGATAAGGGAAAGAGAGAAGGAAAAGACAAAAGGGATGGAAGAAAGGAAGGAAGGATGAAAGGGTGGAAGGGAAGGAGGAAAGAAAGAGAGAAGGAAGGACCAAAGGGTGGAAGGGAATGGAGGGAGGGAGGAAAGAGAGAAGGAAGGAAAGGCAAAAGGAAGGAAGGACGAAGGAAAGAGAAGGAAGGAAGGAAGGAAGGAAGGAAGGAAGGAAGGAAGGAGTAAGAGGAAGGGAAGAAGAAAGGGAAAGGAAAAGAAGGAAAGAAGGAGGGAGGAGGAAGGAAAGAAAAAGAGGAAGGAAGGAGGAGGAGGAAAGAGGAGAAGAAGAAAGCAGAAAAGGAAGGAAGGAGAGAAGAGGAAGGAAGGAAGGAAGAAAGTAGGGAGGGAGGTAAAGAGGCAAGAAAGAGAAAAAGGAAGGAAAGACAAAAGGGAGGAAGGAAAGAAGGATGAAAGGGTGGAAGGGAATGGAAGGCGGGAGACAGAGAGAGGGGAGGGAGGAAAGAGAGAAAGAAGGAAAGGCAAAAAGGAAGGAAGAGAAGGAAAGGAGGGAAAGAGAGAGAGGGAGGAAAGGAAGGACAAAGGGTGAAAGGAGAGGGAGGGAAGGAAGGAAGGGTGGGGAAGGAGGAAGGAAGAGGGAAGAAGAGAAGGAAAGGGGAAGGAAAGTGAGGAAGGAAGAGAAGGAAGGAAGGAAAAAGGAAGAGGGAGGAAAGGAGGAAGGAAAGAAAAGGAAGGGAAGGGAAGGAGGGAGAAGAGGAAGGAGGAGGAAAGAGAGAAGGAAGAAAAGGCAAAAGGAGGAAGGAAGGGAAAGAGGGAGAAGGAAGGAAAAGAAGATGAAGGGGAAGGGAAGAGGAGGGAAGGAAGGGGGGAAGGAGGAAGGAAGAGGAAAGAAGGAGAAGGAAAGAGAGAAGGAAGGAAGGAAGGAAAAAGGAAGGAAGGAAGGAAAGGAGAAGGAAGAGGGAAGGAAAGGAGGAAGAAAGGGTGGAAGGGAGGGAGAAAAGAGAGAAGGAAAGGCAAAAAGGAAGGAACACTATATAGTCACTTCTCCATTTAATGACATGCTACAAGCTCACACCAGAAGCGACTTGCAGTTTCTAAAAAAAAAGGCTCATAAATACTACAAATAAGGACCCCCCCCCTTCCCCACAAACATTGTTGGAGGACATTATTCAGTAAATCCCTCTAAAAATAGACAAATATTCCTTCTCCATTGGCCAGATTCCATTTGTGCATCTCCGTTAGATCGCAACGACTGGTTGCGATCTCAAAGGGGTTAAATGGCGAGCGAGGGCCCCCCTTTTCCTTTGCCCCCCCCCCTGCCCGTTTCCCATCTCTAGATGCAGGCCTTCCTTTGTTAAGTAACACGCTGCACGCACCCGGGGTCATGGGAAGCCCGGGCTCCGGTTTCCGAGCCAGAACATATTATTCCAGCTTGCGTTCTGTCTTTCGGCCAAGCTACACAAAAACCCTTCTCACAAAATCAGTGGGGCAGGCAGGCCGGCACTTGGGTTAACAATCAATGCCTTTCCCGTGAGTTCAGACCCTATTCGAGTGCGACCCTTATCAATTGCTTTACTATTTACATTGGAAATGGCCATCACATTATTTTCATTGACACTTCACAAAACGGTAATTTTGCTACAACCAAATTTGAATAGTGGTGGAGTTGGGGAGGATGGATTTTGTCATTTGGGAGTTGTAGTTTGCTGGGATTTATAGTTTACCTACATTCAAAAAGCATTGTAAACTCCACCAATGAGGGAATTGAACCAAACATAATAATAATAATAATAATAATAATAATAATAATAATAATAATAATATCCCAAATGTAGACTTTGGAAGGAAGCAGATGAAACCACAGATCCCATCCTATGGAAGAAGACAGACTCCAAGCAGAGGCACAACACCCTTGCTCAGGTGATTAATTGGAACTTGTGCCACAAACACCATCAAAGCAAGAATTGAAAAGTCGACAAGTGTAGACTCTGCAAAGAGCAGCACATCCTCAGCTGCTGCAAGAAGATTGTGCAGACAGACTACAAGCAGAGGCCCAACACCCTTGCTCAGATGGTTCAGAGGGAAAGGCCATCTGCCTGCGACAAAGAATCTCTGAGGATGCCTGCCATAGATGTGGGTGAAATGTCAGGAGAGCATGCTTCTGGAGCATGGCCATGCAGCCCGGAAAACTCACAGCAATCCAGGCTGAAGAGTCAATCTCTAGGTATAGCTAGGAAAGAGCAAGCTCTAGGGTCAAAACAATTCTGAAAACCTCATTGTGCCATTTGATTAGAAACCCAACAATCTGCAGAGAGGAACTTTCAGAAATATTCAAAATTAACCATGTATTTTTAATTACAAAAATGTGCGTCGAGCACTGAAAGGGTTAAATGGATGGCATGACTCAGCTAAAGCTGTAATTCAATATCAGCAAGTGTGCCTCTAGCTTAGTAAACTCAGTCTATGAGAGGTATCTGTGGAAGAAGGGCCCCTGTGTGTTTGTAGGCCTCAGTATGAGTAGGCCTCAGTGTTAGTTTGCCTCAGAGAGAGAAAGGCCTCAGTGAGTGAGAGCTTTCAGTGGGAGAAGGCCTCAGTAGGAGAAAGGTCTCATTGTTAGGAGGCCTCAGTATGAGAAGGCCTGGAGTGAGAATCTTCAGTGAGAGAAGCTTCAAGTTAAAGGCCATCATGTGTGAAGCGTCAGTGTGAAAGCCTCAGTATGAGTAGGCCTCAGTGTTAGTTTGCCTCAGTGCATGAGAGCCTCCAGTGGGAGAAGGCCTCAGTAGGGGAAAGGCCTCAGTGTGAGGTAGGCCTCAGTGTTATGAGGCCTCGGTATGAGAAGGTATCATAACACAGAGTGAGAAGCTTCAGTGAGAGAAGCTTCAAGTTAAAGACCATCATGTGTGAAGGGTCAGTGTGAAGGCTGCTGGGTGCATAAAGCTACTGTGTGAAGCTCCTGTATAACTTTGGTATGAGAGGAACAGGAACCTCCTGGGCTTAGGCCTCAGACTGTGAGAGCCTTCAGTGGGAGAAGGCCTCAGTGTGAGGTAAGCCTCAGTATGAGAAGGCCTGGAGTGAAAATGAACTAGGTATTTTTAATTACAAAAATGTGAGTCAAGCACTGAAAGGGTTATATGGATGGCATGACTCAGCTAAAGCTGTGGTTCAATATAAGCAAGTGTGTCGGTATCTTAGTAACCTCAGTCTGTGAGAGGTATCTGTGGAAGAAGGGCCTCTGTGTGTTTGTAGGCCTCAGTATGAGTAGGCCTCAGTGTTAGTTTGCCTCAGTGAGAGAAAGGCCTCAGTGGGAGAAGGCCTCAGTAGGAGAAAGGTCTCAGTGTGAGGTAGGCCTCAGTATGAGAAGGCCTGGAGTGAGAAGCTTCAAGTTAAAGGCCATCATGTGTGAAGCGTCAGTGTGAAGGCCTCAGTGTAAGTTTGCCTCAGTGAGAGAAAGGTCAGTGTGTGAGAGCCTTCAGTGGGAGAAGGCCTCAGTAGGAGAAAGGTCTCAGTGTGAGGTAGGCCTCAGTATGAGAAGGCCTGGAGTGAGAAGCTTCAAGTTAAAGGCCATCATGTGTGAAGCGTCAGTGTGAAGGCCTCAGTGTAAGTTTGCCTCAGTGAGAGAAAGGTCAGTGTGTGAGAGCCTTCAGTGGGAGAAGGCCTCAGTAGGAGAAAGGTCTCAGTGTGAGGTAGGCCTCAGTATGAGAAGGCCTGGAGTGAGAAGCTTCAAGTTAAAGGCCATCATGTGTGAAGCGTCAGTGTGAAGGCCTCAGTATGAGTAGGCCTCAGTGTTAGTTTGCCTCAGTGCATGAGAGCCTTCAGTGATTCCAGCCATGAAAGCCTTCAACAACATATTGTCTTGTATTGACCACTCTAAATTAGGGAGAGAGAAGCTGCCCCTGTGTGTCCTCACCTGATGTAAGCTTCGCTTGGCCTGCAAGGCTGCGTTGAGCTTCTCCTCCTGCTTGACTCGCATCTTCACGACTTCGTGGAGGAACTTCTCTTTGGCTTCTTTGGTGTCCAGGCCACTGTCCAAGGCCTGCCGGAGGTGCTCCAGCTCGGCCTCCAGCCCGCTGGCCCCGCTCTGGGGCTCGACGTGGCCAGCGGTGGCGTCAAACGTGCTGCAGACGGCGGGCGGAGCGGGCATGCTGGGCGAACTCATGTCCTTGGCGGAGCTCGACGACGTGAAGGACGGGGAGGAGAGCGAAGACAGAGAGGAGGTGACTGGAAAATGAAAACACACAAAGGGCAACAGAGCCCGCCATCAGAAGCCGAAAGGAATGGCCTTGCACAAAACAGTCAGCAGAGAATGATCTCTTGCCAACGGTTTGGTCTGACTTGAAAAAGGCTCGAGGCGCTGTGCATTCAGGCAGGGTTGCTGCTGACATGTCTCCTCTCAAATCACTTCAGACTTATTGTGCTTTAAAGTTATGAATACTGTTGTATGGAATTGTTTTCAATACTAATTGTATTTATTGTATTTATTTACTATTTCTAGACGCCGCCCTCTCTCACCCCAAAGGGGACTCAGAGTGTTAGTTTGCCTTTTAATTCAAGCCTTAAACACACATATCGTTTTGCATTTTATTGCAATCTCTCTGGAGCGCGATTTGAACCAAGAGCATGCGATGCAAATTCCGCAAAGGATAAGCGGTAGGGCTGGGCGGTTTCGTTTTGTTAATTCGTAATTCGTTAATAATTCGTTAATTTTCTTGATTACGAAGCGATAACAAACCATTCTGGAGCAATTTTTTAAAAAAACGAATTTTTAAATACGTTTTGTAAATGCTTCGTAATTCGTTATGTGTTCGTTTCGTTATCGTTTTGAGGTCGTTTCGTTATTATTTCCGCATGTCTGGGGCAAGTTTTATAGTTGTTTTTTGTTTAATTAGTGAAAAAAATTTATAATATCACACCAACAGTCAACAACAGAGGGAGAGGGAAGCTTCAGAAGTTCCCCCGTCCCATTTGGAGGTTTTTTAGCGTATTGCGCGGTCGCGTCCGCCATTAACGAATCGATTCGTTATTGTTTCTTATTTGTTTCGTTAATGTTTTGTAATTTTTTTCACATTTACAAAATTTCGTAAATATCGAACTTTTTAAAAGGAAAATTTTGTAATTATTTTAAATAACGAAACGCAAAAACCCCAAAAAAGAATCGATTTTAGAAACAAATTTTTCCGTTGTTACCCAGGCCTAATAAGCGGCAATCCCCAAACCGAAATATTTCCGAATCCCTCCCAGATCGACAAGGAACGAGAAAAAGGAGGAACGAAGTGGGCAACTCACACTTACATTCCTCTCGCGTTTCGACTTCGATCTCCGCTTCCGACTCCTTGTCCTCTTCGGTGGCGGCGACAGGGGCGGCGACGGGCGGGGCAACCGTGGTGGGCGCGGGTTCGGGAACGGTCGGGATCTCGGAGGCATGCTTCCTTTTCCGTGGCTGCGGGGGGCTGTTCAGTGGCTCGTTGTTCCGTGACGCGATTGTGGCACATGGGGGGTTGCTGATGATCTTTGGGTGAGGGTGGGGGGCCAGGGCCACGTTGGGCGCAATGGCGTTCTCAAAACTCTTGTACGAGTAGAAGCTGAAACGTCACAAGGAGAAAGGAAGGAAAGAAGTCACCATACAAAGAAAGTCTTGCAAGTTTATGAAACATCTCCAGAGAGGGATCTTATCAGGGAAATAAATTAGAGAAGGGTAGTCACCCTCTAACTCCGGTTGTGGGTGAACTACAACTCGCATCATGTCAGGTGAACCCCCTGAAACTCCCATCAGTGCTAAAAGTTTGTCATGTTGGGCAAGTTTGCTCTAGATGCATCATTGGTGGAGTTCAGTGTGATCTCTGGTTGCAGGGTAAACTACAGCTCCCACCATGGTGCGTCAGTCCCCTCAAATCCCTCCAGTAGGTTCATAGGGCTTCTGTGTGCCAAGTTTGGTCCAGATCCGCCACTGGTGGAGGAGTTTACTGAAGGAGTTTAGGGGATCTACTCCCCATGATGGAAGTTGTAGTTCACCCTACATCAAGTCAGAGCACCGTGACCCCCACTGACAATGGACCTGGATGGCCTAGGGGGAACAGAACCCCCATGACTTAAGAAAAAAAATACTGGAGAGGTTGGGGGTGGGGGATGGACCTTGATTTACAGCCATTGTAGCTACTGGGATTTATAGTTCACCTCCAAGCAAAAAGCTTATTTATTTATTTATTTATTTATTTGCAGTATTTATATATGATCGATCAGTGTTTCTCAACCTTCCTAAAGCTGCGACCCCTTAATAGAGTTCCTTATGTTGTGTTGACCCCCAACCATCACATTATTTTCGTTGCGACTTCACAACTGTGATTGTGCCCCTGTTATGAATCGTAAGGTAAACATCTGATATGCAGGATATATTTGCATTCACGGAAAAAACCAGGCCCAAATATCCAATAATACAACCAAATTTGAATACTGGTGAGGTTGTGAAAAGGACTGATTTCGTCATTTGGGAGTTGCAGTTGCTGGGATTTATAGTTCACCTCCAATCAAAGAGCATTCTGAAATCCACCAACAACAGAATTGAACCAAATTTGGAACACAGACCTCCCCTGACCAACAGAAAATATGGGAAGGGTTTGCTGGGCATTGACCTTGAGTTTTGGAGTTGTAGTTCACCTACAGTATATTCTGGCGTATAAGACTACTTTTTAACCCAAGAAAATCTTCTCAAAAGTCAGGGGTCGTCTTATACGTGGGTGTAGTCTTATGCATGGGAGTCGTCTTAACTCTATATTTTAACTGGAAAAGTTGGGGGTCGTCTTATACACCCAGTCGCCTTATATGCCGGAATATACGGTACATCTAGAGAGCACTGTGCACTCCAACAATGATGGATCTGGACCAAACTTGGCACAAATGCTCAATATGCCCAAATGTGAATCCTGGTGGAGTTTGGGGAATATAGACCTTGACATTTGGGAGTTGTAGTTGTTGGGATTTATAGTTCACCTACAATCAGAGTATTCTATTCTCCACCAAGGATAGAATTGGGCCAAACTTCCCACACAGAACCCCCATGACCAACAGAAAATACTATGTTTTCTGATGGTCTTTGGCGACCCCTCTGACACTCCCTCACGACCCCCAGAGGGGCCGCGACCCCCAGGTTGAGAAACACTGCGATAGATAAACGAATGGTTTTCATGAGATCCGTTGTGCCTCCATCCCTTTCGTTATGAAGTGTGTTCATATTCCTTCTAAGAGGTGGGTTTCACCTCCAGCATGCTTTAGCAAAACTGAATGAGTGTGCTGCAAAATGATGCACGTTACAAAAGTGTATCACCAACATGATATGTTTGGAAAGCTCTGCTCTAACTAACGGCCTACCACTCTCACAAACATAAAATCATGCCGTAAGTCCCACTTTGTTGACGAGGGCTTGCTTTGGATGCAGAGATGACGGCCTTCCTTGGCTTTTGACCTCTGTTTAAATCAAATTAATGGGTTTTTGGGTCAGTTTGTGGCCGACTGCCGCTCACCTGTCTCGGATCAAAGCGGGGATGTGACTCGAGAGTTCCTTCTCGTTGGCCGAAACCGCGGGGGACCAGGGTCGGAATGCAGAGAGGCGCTGGCGCGGGTTTATGCAACCCACATTCTAGAGAAAGAGAAAGAGAAAGAGAAGGAAGAGAGTGAGTGGGACAGGCACACCAAGAACCGGAGAACGATTGGTTCATTTATTGACTCTGTTTGTACCCCACCTTTCTCTACCCCAAAGGGGACTCAAGGCAATGCCTTTGAACAACAAAATAATCATCATAATCATCATAATCATAATCAGGCAGCCCAAGAACAAGCCATTAGAACCAAGGCCATCAAAACCAGAATTGGAAAGTCGACGACAGATCCTAAATGTAGATTCTGCAAGGAAGCAGGTGAAGCAGTAGATCCCATCCTCAGCTGCTGCAAGACGATTGTAGACAGACTCCAAGCAGAGGCACAACACCCTTGCTCAGATGATGCATTGGGACTCGTGCCACAAACACCATCAAAGCAAGAATTGAAAAGTTAACAACAGATCACAAGTGTAGACTCTGCAAAGAAGCAGCACATCCTCAGCTGCTGCAAGAAGATCACGCAGACAGACTCCAAGCAGAGGCACAACACCCTTGCTCAGATGATGCATTGGGACTTGTGCCACAAACACCATCAAAGCAAGAATTGAAAAGTTAACAACAGATCACAAGTGTAGACTATGCAAGGAAGCAGCACATCCTCAGCTGCTACAAGAAGATCGTGCAGACAGACTACAAGCAGAGGCACAACACCCTTGCTCAGATGATCCATTGGGACTTGTGCCACAAACACCATTGGCCTGCCACAAAGAACTTGATGGGATCACAAGCTGGAAAAAGTTACAGAGAATGAACACGTCAAACTCCTCTGGGACTTCCGGATTCAGACAGACAGAGTTCTGGAGCACAACACTCCTGACCTCACAATCGTGTTGAAAAACAAAATATGGATTCTCGATGTTGCAATCCCAGGCGACAGCAGGATTGCAGAGAAACAACTGGAAAAGCTGACACAATATGAGGATTTAAAGATCGAACTGCAAAGACTCTGGCACAAGCCAGTCAAGGTGGTCCCAGTGGTGATCGGCACACTGGGTGCAGTGCCTAAAGACCTTGGCCTGCACTTAAACACAATCAGCGCTGACAAAATTACCATCTGCCAGCTGCAAAAGGCCACCTTATTGGGATCTGCACGGATTGTTTGCCGATACATGACACAGTCTTAGACACTTGGGAAGGGTCCAACATGTAATCCAATACAACTATCAGCATAGTTTGATCCAATGCAACTATCCAATACAACTATCTTGTTTGCTATGGACTCATTTTGTTGTGTTTCAAATTTATTTATTTATTTATTTATTGACAGCTTTTCTCTTCCGCCCTTCTGCTCACCCCGCAGGGGACTCAGGGCGGATCACAGTGTACACATATATGGCAAACATTCAATGCCAATTTTGACATACAACACATATACAGACATAAAAGTAAAGGTAAAGGTAGTCCCCTGACATTAAGTCCAGTCATGTCTGACTCTGGGGTGTGGTGCTCATCTCCATTTCTAAGCCGAAGAGCCAGCGTTGTCCGTGGACACCTCCAAGGTCATGTGGCCGGCATGACTGCATGGAGCGCCATTACCTTCCCGCCGGAGTGGTACCTATTGATCTACTCACATTTGCATGTTTTCGAACTGCTAGGTTGGCAGAAGCTAGGGCTGACAGCGGAAGCTCACGCCGCTCCCCGGAATCGAACCTGTGACCTTTCGATCAACAAGCTCAGCAGCTCAGTGCTTTAACCCACTGCGCTACCGGGGGCTCCTTATACAGACATACACAGAGGCTATTTAACTTTTTCTGGCCGCCAGGGGAGCTGTCGCTTTCTTCGTCCATCTGCAACGCTGATGAAGCACTTCCGCATTCCCCGCATGCTTCCCCGCTGGAATGCTTTGCTGGAGTCTTCTTTATGGCCTCATAAATCAGTTAATTTAGCCTCCCCACACTTTAAGGTGGTACCTTATTTTCCTACTTGACAGATGCAACTGTCTTTCGGGTTGCAAAGGTCGACAACAGGCTACACACAATTGGTTGGAAACCCACTCCAACCCGGCTGGCTTCGAACTCATGACCTTTTGGTCAGAGTGATCTTAATGCAGCTGACACTCAGCCAGCTGCACCACAATCCCAGTGCATTGGATCAAATCAGCTGATGTGGTCTATCCAATGCAATGTTCTGCATCAGCTGATGTGGTCTATCCAATGCAATGTTCTGCATCAGCTGATGTGGTCTATCCAATGCAATGTTCTGCATCAGCTGATGTGGTCTATCCAATGCAATGTTCTGCATCAGCTGATGTGGTCTATCCAATGCAATGTTCTGCATCAGCTGATGTGGTCTATCCAATGCAATGTTCTGCATCAGCTGATGTGGTCTATCCAATGCAATGTTCTGCATCAGCTGATGTGGTCTATCCAATGCAATGTTCTGCATCAGCTGATGTGGTCTATCCAATGCAATGTTCTGCATCAGCTGATGTGGTCTATCCAATGCAATGTTCTGCATCAGCTGATGTGGTCTATCCAATGCAATGTTCTGCATCAGCTGATGTGGTCTATCCAATGCAATGTTCTGCATCAGCTGATGTGGTCTATCCAATGCAATGTTCTGCATCAGCTGATGTGGTCTATCCAATGCAATGTTCTGCATCAGCTGATGTGGTCTATCCAATGCAATGTTCTGAAACAGCACCCTAAATAACCAAACCCAAATCTAAAGTTGACCAAAAATTGATTTGTAATCCTTTTGGTACTAATGTTGGAGAGTGTTCCCTGGTCAAAAACAGATTGGGAGCCACGGCTTTAGGTAAACTCACCTTGCTGGATGGAGTGGACAAGGACCGTAACCAATTGGACTGTTTCTCTTTGTCACCAATGACTGGAGACTGCAAGGAGTCATCTGTTTTGGGTTTCTTGGGTGCAGGAGGATCACACGGGACCTGTAATGGGAAAGGTGATTTTTAAAATATGTTTATACACACACATAATAGAGTCTCGCTTATCCAACACAAACTGGCCAGCAGAACGTTGGATAAGCAAAAATGTTGTATAAGAAGAAGAAGAGATTAAGGAAAAGTGTATTAAGCATCAAATAATGTTATGATTTTACAAATTCAGCACCAAAACAACACATTTTACAACAAATTGAAATAAAAAGCAGTTCAAAACACAGCAACGTTATGTAGTAATTACTGTATTTACAAATTTAGCACCAAAACATTGCAATGTATTGAAACAGTTGTGGGTCCGGGCGGGAGGCAGGCTGCGTGGGATCATACAGAACGTTGGATGAACGAAGGCTGGATAAGCGAGACTCTCGTGTATAAAGATTATGTGAATGAGTGAGTTTCCAATCATCACAACGTATAGATCATTTGCAGCCAGTGATGGGAAAATGTTCCAGATCCCACAATGGCTTTTCAGAGATTCATTTCCATCCTCTCTTTTCTTCCTCCGTCTTTCTTTCTGGAAGACGATTAAGTCATTCACATGTGGGAAAACCCTTTCAAATGGCAGCAAGCATTTCAATGCCAATGAGCAGAAATTTGTACCCATTTCCCGGTAATAGTAATTTGATTACCGATCCTTCTGAGCAACACACTATCTGCCAAGGGGACACTTTCCTATGATACTTCGTCTTGAGGACAGCAAGCTTCCCTATCGGACAGATGGCAAGCTATTTAACCTTAGCAGACTGAAAGCCAAAACCAAGGTCACAACAACATCTGTTATAGAACTCCAATATGCTGATGACAACGTCATCTGTGTGCATTCAGAAGAAGAGTTACAAGCCACTAAACAGAAGCATACGAGAAGCTCAGCCTCTCATTGAACATTGAGAAAACCAAAGTGTTTTTCCAGCAGTCACCAGGCAATCCCTCAGCAGACTGAAAGCCAAAGCCAAGGTCACAACAACATCTGTTATAGAACTTCAGTATGCTGATGACAACGTGGTCTGTGCGCATTCAGAAGAAGATCTACAAGCCACTCTAAACACCTTTGCAGAAGCATATGAGAAGCTCGGCCTGTCATTGAACATCGAGAAAACCAAAGTGCTGTTCCAGCAGTCACCAGCCAATCCCTCTCCAATGCCAGAGATACAGCTTAATGGTGTCACATTAGAAAATGTGGACCATTTCCGCTCCCTTGGCAGCTACCTCTCCACCAAAGTCAACATCGACACTGAAATACAACACCGCCTGAGCTCTGTGAGCGCAGCATTTTCCTGAATGAAGCAGAGAGTGTTTGAGGACCGGGACATCCGTAGGGAGACCAAGGGGCTTGTTTATAAAGCTATTGTCCTCCCAACCCTGCTCTATGCCTGCGAGACGTGGACTGTCTACAGATGTCACATGCAACTCCTGGAACGATTCCCTCAGCGCTGCCTCTGAAAAATCCTGCAAATCTCTTGGGAAGACAGGCGGGGAAACGTCAGCCTGCTGGAAGAAGCAAAGACCACCAGCACTGAAGCGATGGTCCTCCGCCATCAACTCTGCTGGAGTTGATAATCCAACAGACCAACATTGCCTGGATGCCCAACCACCGTTTCCCAAAGCAGTTGCTCTACTCCAAACTCAAGAATGGAAAACGGAATGTTGGTGGGCAGGAAAAGAGATTGAAAGATGGGCTCAAAGCCAACCTTAAACTCTGGCATAGACACTGAGAACTGGGAAGCCCTGGCCCTTGAGCGCTCCAGCTGGAGGTCAGCTGTGACCAGCAGTGCTGCAGAATTTGAAGAGGCACGAATGGAGGGCGAAAGAGAGAAACGTGCCAGGAAGAAGGAACATTTAGCCAACCCTGACCAGAACTGCCTTCCTTCTGGAAATGGATGTCCTCACTACGGAAGAACATGAGGATCAAGAATAGATCTCCGCAGCCACCTATGTATCCAAGGCCAAGATACTACACTTTGAAGGTTCAACGAGAGATCGCCCAACTCCTTTACCTTGTCCATGCCTAGCATTATTTTTTAAACTTCAATTACATTTGGTCCAGCCATAGATTTTAAATGTGCACTGTGCTTTGTTTAATGTTTACGCTATTTGTGTATGAGATTTATTTTAATTGCCTTGTATTGTGTCTGTTATTGCTTGTATTGATGTATTGTGGGCTCGGCCTCATGTGAGCCGCACCGAGTCCCATGGGGAGATGGTAGCGGGGTATAAATAAAGTTTTATTATATTATTATTATAATAATATTCAAGGCACAGTATCCCTATCAGAAATAAATGTCCCAGCCCTACGATGATCTTGATAGGTTGGGAAGTGGGGAGTGCTCCAGCTGGAGGTCAGCTGTGACCAGCAGTGCTGCAGAATTTGAAGAGGCACGAATGGAGGGCGAAAGAGAGAAACGTGCCGAGAGGAAGGCGCGTCAAGCCAACCGCCTTCCGTCTGGAAACCGATGCCCTCACTGCGGGAGAAGATGCAGGTCAAGAATAGGCACAGTATCCCTATCAGAAATAAATGTCCCAGCCCTACGATGATCTTGATAGGTTGGGAAGTGGGGAGTGCTCCAGCTGGAGGTCAGCTGTGACCAGCAGTGCTGCAGAATTTGAAGAGGCACAAATGGAGGGCGAAAGAGAGAAACGTGCCGAGAGGAAGGCGCGTCAAGCCAACCGCCTTCCACCTGGAAACCGATGCCCTCACTGCGGGAGAAGATGCAGGTCAAGAAGAGGACCCACCCTGGAAGACTACCCCACTCGGACAACGAGGGAGGTGAGCAAAGGGGAGAAATGCGACTCCGAAATTATCTACCACTATCGAGACATTCAAGGAGTCCTCGGTCGAACTGGCCTCCAAACTCTTTTGGTCGTGGGAGTTCTGTGTGCCAAGTTTGGTTCAATTCCATTGTGGGTGGAGTTCAGCGTGCTCTTTGACTGTAGGTGAACTATACATCCCAGCAACTACAACTCCCAAACGACAAAATGAATCCCCCAACCCTACTAGTTTCTTTCCCAACTGTATACAGAAAGGTGTGTTTTGAAGACGGTGGTTCTGGCTGGGAAAGATTCTTGGAGGCGAGCACAGGGCAGACTTTGTTATTCTGTTTGCAGCGGTTGTTATGCCGATGACTTCACTGGGCTGCAGCTGCAGCGGATTCTGCTGGCCGCCTGCCAAGCTCTGCTCTGCTTTTTCCACCACTCGCTCGGCTCTGCCTATAAATCACCCGCGAGCAGAAGCAAGCCCCCTTGGCCCCTCCAAGCTCAGCTCCACACCTCCCCCGGGACACGCGGGGATCAGTCCTGAACCCCCCCCCCCCGGACGACATCCCTTCCCAAACAGTTGAGCTGGGACCCCAAAGAAAGCACGGTCCGAAAGCCAGCCAGGACAAACAAGACCACTGGGAAGGAGCGAGTGGGGTGAATGACCGCACCGCCACCAAAGGACAAAAAAGGTTCCTTCTATTGTCTGGAATCACTGGGTTCTTGTGGGTTTTTTCGGGCTATAGAGCCATGTTCTAGAGGCATTTCTCCTGACGTTTCGCCTGCATCTATGGCTTGCCATAGATGCAGGCGAAACGTCAGGAGAAATGCCTCTAGAACATGGCTCTATAGCCCGAAAAAACCCACAAGAACCCAAGGTTCCTTCTTCTCCTCTCTTGCTCCCTTTTTGACATATACCTAATGCACCCAAATTTGAATACTGGTAGGGTTGGGGGATTCAATTTGTCGTTTGGGAGTTGTAGTTGCTGGGATGTATAGTTCACCTACAATCAAAGAGCATTCTGAACTCCACCAATGATAGAATTGAACCAAACTTGGCACACAGAACTCCCACAACCAAAAGAGTTTGGTGGGCATTGACCTTGAGTTTGGAGTTGTAGTTGCTGGGATGTATAGTTCACCTACAATCAAAGAGCACTCTGAACTCCAGCAATGATGGAATTGAACCAAACGTGGCACACAGGACTTCCACGACCATAAGTGTTTGGTGGGCATTGACCTTGAGTTTGGGGGTTGTAGTTGCTGGGATTTATAGTTCACCTACAGTCAAAGAGCATTCTGAACTCCACCCACAATGGAATTGAACCAAACTTGGCACACAGAACTCCCACAACCAAAAGTTGGAGGGGGATTGACCTTGTCATTTGGGAGTTGTAGTTGCTGGGATTTATAGTTCACCTACAATCAAAGAGCATTCTGAACTCCACCAATGATGGAATTGAACCAAACGTGGCACACAGGACTCCCACGACCAAAAAGAGTTTGGTGGGCATTGACCTTGAGTTTGGGGGTTGTAGTTGCTGGGATTTATAGTTCACCTACAGTCAAAGAGCATTCTGAACTCCACCCACAATGGAATTGAACCAAACTTGGCACACAGAACTCCCACAACCAAAAGAGTTTGGTGGGCATTGACCTTGAGTTTGGGAGTTGTAGTTCACCTACATCCAGACATCAAACAATGATGGATCTAGATCAAACTTGGCAAAAATACTCAGTATGCCCAAATGTGAACACTGGCATAGTTTGGGGGTGGGAATAGACCTTGACATTTTGGAGTTGTAATTGCTGGGATTTATAGTTCACCTACAATCAAAGAGCATTCTGAACTCCACCAACAATGGGATTGAACCAAACTTGGCACACAGAACTCCCATGACCAACAGAAAATACTGGAAGGATTTGGTGGGCAGTGACCTTGGAGTTGTAGTTCACCTACATCCAGAGATCACTGTGGATTCAAACAATGATGGATCTGGGCCAAACTTGGCACGAATACTCAATATGCCCAAATGTGAACACTGGTGGAATTTGGGGAAAATACACTTGATACTTGGGAATTGTATTTGCTGGGATTTATAGTTCACTTACAATCAAAGAGCATTCTGAACTCCACCCACAATGGAATTGAACCAAACTTGGCACACAGAAGTCCCATGACCAACAGAAAATACTGGAAGGGTTTGGTGAGCACTGATCTTGAGTTTTGGAGTTAT